CATCAACAGATCTAAAAAAACTTGAAAATCTTAAAAATTGACGGTCCAAAAATACGTTACAAAATACATTATTTTCAAAACTTGAAATCTATTTTTTTCTTATATCCATGCATCTTGATCTCGCGATGATCGATTTGAGGATATTTGAGCATTAAAACTACCTCTTCTAGTGAAATTTTTTATGTAAGCTCTAATTTGATGCTCTATATAAACTTTTCCTTTTTTTAAAGGGTTAGTATTTTGTGTGTCCCCGGTTTATTTATCTTTCGGTCTTCCCTTTCAAAATCCATCAACTTGGAGATGCACTTTGGATTCGAAAATTGGGGTCGCAAAAGGATCTGTGCTGGAGCCGACTTGGTCTAGTCACCATTGATTAGACTTAGACTGGGTCAAAATATGGAAAATTCCAAAAAAATACAGAGTAATGATACTATGAGACCATCCCACATCCATGTGAGTAAAACCCCAAATGATCACTATTAATTTTGACACAGATCTTTAGAAAACCCATACACCCAAGTCCCACATCCATGTCTTAACTTTTATAGAAATCTGTGTCAAAATTTAATGGTGATTCTTTAGGGTCCTACTCACATGGGTGTGGGAGGGTCTCATAGTGTCATTACTAAAAAAAATAGGGTGCGGTTTCTATAAGGTTGCAACCTTAAACAATCCAATTAAAGCGCACCTCCAAATTTGATCATAACATGCAATTTTGTTGTAAAAAATTATTAGGATTATCTTAAAATCTATTTTCTTATCTAATTAGAAGATTTTAAACTCTAAAAATAGTTAAAATCAAGGAGATCTATAAACATATGAAAATCATGAAAATGGACGGCCTAGATAATGTGTTTCAAGATGCACTATTTATGAGACTCCAAAACTTTGTTTTTTTATATTCATACATCTCGATGTCGAGATGATCAATTTTCAACATTAAAACAGCCTTTCCGATAGATTTTTGAGGTGCACCTGTAATTCTACATTTTAAAGTTTCAACCTTATATAAACTTTTCCCAAAGAAATATATTACATATATTTTGTAATAAAAAATACATGATTGTTAGTACGCAACAGTGAGCCAAGTAGCAATTAGGTTTCAGGTTGGACCAAACTTACCGACTCCCGGATCCATACTTTTGGACCTAAACCTGACCCGTTGGATCAAAAAAGTTGGACCCGAGTTGCTGAACTGTTCAATCCTCTGGTGGACCTAACCCAATGGCGGTCCTAACAAAAACCTACGGCCCTCAAAAATGTGAAAAAAAGTTAAAAATTTTAGGTTGCAACCTTAAATAATCTAATTAAGGTGCAGCTCCAATTTTTGTCATAACATGTAATTTTGGTGTAAAAAATTCTTAAAATTATCTCAAAATCTGTCTACATATTTAATTATATGATTTTAAACTCCAAAAATGGTTAAAATCAAGTAGATCTATACATATGAAAAATCTTGAAAATTGACGATCTAGATAATGTGTTGCAAGATGGACTATTTTTGGGACTCAAAATCTTTTTTTTTTTTTCATATTCATACATCTCGTTGTTGAGATGATCTACTTGAGGGTTTTTCAACATTAAAACAACTTTTTCCGATGGATTTTTAGGTACATCTATAATTCTACATTTTAATATTGCAACCTTCTATAAATGTTTTCCTAAAAATATATAATTTTTTTATTTTTTTTTAGAAGTATTCATTTCAGTTCCGAAAATTATGAGACTTGCACAGGTTTTGGACCTCCAGGTTCATAAATCACAAGTCCCTGGCGAAAGATGCCACTCACTCATGAACGACTTTTCATTTTTCAATATTTCATATCCGCAAAGTTTAAAAAATAATTTAAAAGGTGTGGTTTTTATAATGCATAAGTGGCAATGGGGTTGAGGTCGTGGTAGCACCACTTGAGCCTCAACTAATGATCTAGGTTTTCATTCTCACTTATGTATTTGAAAATTGTTAATTATTTATTAAATTGTCAATTATTTTTTAAAAACGGGTACGGGACTGTATTCCCCATTGATCTAGTCAAAAAATAAGAAAAAAAGAAAAGAAAAAAGACCTTAAACAATTAAATTAAGATTTGCCTCTAAACCCCTAGAAGAAGGTCATATCAATACACAAATGTATAACTTCCCAGGAATTTCGATTGTGCTTACAATTAAATTAAGATTTGCCTCTAAACCCAAGAAAAAGGAAAACGGGACTATATTCCCCATTGATCTACTCAAAAAAAAAAAAAAGGAAAAAAGAAAGGACCTTAAACAATTAAATTAAGATTTGCCTCGAAACCCAAAAAAAAGGTTTTATCAATACACAAATATATAATTCCTAGGGAATTTCAATCGCGCGTACAATTAAATTAAGATTTGCCTCTAAACCCATGAAGAAAGAAACTAATTGGTGTATCAAGGGACACACTTTTATAATTACGTCCCCTGACGTACTCAACAGTCATCTTGTACATGGTTGTATATAAACAGTGGCCCCATATATACTTAAAGAGAAATGATCGTATAGGATATTCTCCTATTCATGTGTGTAAGGCCCCAAAGGATCACAATTAATGGCACGAATCTATACAAAAGTCAAGTCCTACACCCATGTGATAACTTTTCCAGATATTCGTATCAATTTTAATGGTGATCCTTTGGGGTCCTCCATATATGGATGGGGAGGGTCCTGTAGGATCATTACTCATATTTAAAACTAAGGGCTATATTAAAAAAGTCTATTTTCTTTTAGTATTCATAGTTATCATGGTTTAGATTTTTTATCTTTGATATTATAGATCCAAAACCCATCTCTAAGATAGATTTTGAAGAGATGTTTCATTTAAATAGGTGAGGTCGGTGACTAATAGAAATCTTGTCAATTTAAAAATATAATTCCAATACCAAAAGCTCTCACCCGAAAAAATATTATTACCAACCAATTATGAGATTTAAAGCTAAAAAAATGATCTAAATCAAGTAAATACATAAACACTTGAAAATCTTAAAAACAGATGGTCCAAATAATATGTTACAAGATATATTATTTTTAAGACTTGAACCTCATTTTTTCTCTCATATCTATATGTCTTGAGGTCGAGATGATCAATTCAAGCATTTTTCAGCATTGGAAAAACCTGATCCCTAGGGTTTTTGAAGTGCATCATGCTTTTATATATCCCTAGGGTTTTTGAAGTGCATCATGCTTTTATATTTATAATATAAGACTGACCGCCTTGTATAAAGTTTTTTTAATTTTAAATATATTGGTTATCACTTACGGAAAATAAAAGTTTGCAGTTAAGTATAAAATAAGGGAATTTTTATTTTGTTTAAATAAAAAGTAAAGGACTCGTTTTTCCATGATTTTCTCAAATTAAAATAACCACTCCAAATTAAGTTCGAATTTTAATTAAAAACCAAATATCAAAAGAAAAAAAAAAGGATGTTATGGAGCGTGAAAACGACGGTGGCAAAGCGGCTGGCAAGAGAAAACGATTGGAGGGCATTATTGGCATTTTCGGAAAAAGGCAAGCACTTTTTAGTCATTGTACGCTCCAGCCAGCTCGTGAGCGAAGCAATCAGCCGCTCAATAATCCACACGCGTACTAACGCAACGTGTCCTGTAGGCATCCTTAACTCGTGCCGCCTCCTCCCATAAATACTGTCTTTAAAACACACACACACACACACACTCGCTCTACTCTCTTCGAATCCCCTTTCCACAAATGGCAATAATCTAGGGTTCCTTCTCCGCCCTCAGAATCTAGGGTTTCGTAACCCCCTATATACCTGCAAAAAGAGGACAAACTCCATCTTCGGTATTGTGCCTTTCAGATCCGTTTTAGAGGTGCGTTTTTGCTTGTTTACTCTTTGCGTTTTTGCTTGTTTACTCTTTGTTTCCCCATTTTTAACTGATTTTGCTATTCATTTTTGCTGGACATCAAGGTGTAGTGCAATGTAGTATGGAAAATTAGGTAGTGACGTTGAAGTAATGGAGTTGAAGTTCACGGTTTAGGATTTGAAGATGAATTTCGAATTTTTTTGGGATGAAAGTGAGGTTTTTGGGGTACATTTGTGAATTTTAGGGCTATTGAAGCTGAGGAGCTGAAGTTTTTAGAAGTAGAGGTTGAAAGTTGGATTCGGGGTGTCTTTTAAGTCTACTAGGTTTTTGAAATTTAGGGGATGGTTTTGAATTTATGTATGTTGAATTTCTCAAAATTTTCTGACTTCGAAAGTTGGCAAAATTGATACGGTGATGGTAATTGTGGGCATTGGTTGAGTAGATGTTGTGGTTTTTGGCTTCTCAGGTGGATTTATGTTCCTGCATTGAACTGTAGATATTGCAGTTATGGTAACTGCACTGTGGTCATTTACTTATAGACAGAAACTGTGCAGTGCTTTTTTAAGGAAATATTAATACATTATTGATAAAGAATGTGTCTTCTTTTACGAAGGTCCTTGACACTTTTAGACCTCAAAGATGTGATTCCAGCTTTTCTTTCAATGAGGATTCCTTTTTTTTGTTCCAAAAATATCCTGGGCTTCTATTGGCTTCCAAGAACTATAAGAACCTTACCTTACATTGTAATTTGGCAGCATATGTATTTCCTGTTATTTGGTAAACACAAGGAACAATGTTGAATGATAAGGTTTCAAGAAAGGCTTTCTTGTTTCACGAGAAACTCATAGATTTTCTGGTTTCCAGAAAAAACTTGCTTAAGATGGTGTCTGATCTCGTTCTTCAATCCAGTGAGCTCTGCTATTTTATACTGCTCAAGCCAACTGCACAGCGTATCAAAAATTTAGAAGTTCTATGTCCACTGTTCCTTCAGCAGAACAAGTGAGGAGACTGGTTCTCCCCAACATGTATCCTGCCCACTGTTCCTTGAGCGAAACTCAAGTTCTATGTCCAATCTGTATTCTCATGACAAACAAGAGGCAATATAGCTGCACTTGCAAAACATATGGTGATGTTAGGATACCCAGATATCCTGATTGGTGACCTAATTATATCAGAAAGTACCGTTCATGGATATCTCCTATACACACTCTATATTTTAGCATTAAAGGATTGGCAAAGCCTAAGATGTGCTTAGCTTACCACTTGCAAATAGTAGGCGCAATCCAAAAATTTGCATATAGATAAATATGTTTCAAAGAAGATTTTGTGTTGATTGTCACAAAAACTTGTTGTCAGGGCCGCACTGTAACAATCCAGCTAACAAGTCCTGCCCATTACCTATGTACCCCGAACTGTTTTTGCTTTGGAGTTAGGTGGGTATGCACCATCTGCTAGAGGTTTAGAGTCTTACTAGTCCACAACCTTTGTGATGCACAAGCTCAAATTATGTAATGAATAATTTTTGAGACCATTTATTTGAATTTTTTGGATGTCATTATTTAAGAAGTTGTAACAAAAATAAGTATTCAATTTGAGTATTTAGGATGAACGTATCAGAGATGAGGATGTTGAGAGAGATGAGTGGCAAGACAAGAAAGTATAGAATTCGGAATGAATACATATGAGGGAACTTAGGTGTGGCTTTAATAGGCGATAAGATGATGAAAGTAGACTTCGGTGGCTTGGCCATATATGGTGTAGACCTAATACAACACAACACCGGTTAGGAAGTATGATTTGGTTTAAATGAAAAGCGTTAAAGGGGAAGGGGATGGATAGAAGTACTGAGAAAGATAATGCAACTTTTGGTCGTACTGAGGGTATGGCCCTCGGTAGAGAAGAATGAAGGAACATCATTCATGTAGCCGACCCCAATTGGGATAAGGCTTGGATGATGATAACACAAATAAATAAAATATTCAATAATTAAAATATTAGAAAGTAATACCTCTTACTTAAATTGATGGAAAATATGTTTTAAACAGAAAGTTTGTAGTAAACAATTAACAAAGAAACTAATTTGGGAATTTATTTTCATCCTATTGATGTAAAGAAACCTTATAATTCGGAAGCTACTTTGTGAGGGTAAATTATTTTTCAAATCCGTTAAATCTAAATTATCAATATTTTTTTTAAAAGGATTTATAGTTACTATAATGTTATACCATTTAAAGGTAAATTATTTTTCAAATCCCTTAAAATCTAAATTATCAATGTTTTAAAACAAAAAGATTTATAGTTACTGTAATGTCAGACCATGTAATTTTATTTGCTAAATAAAAATATAAATTTCTATGAATCTTTTATATGCACGGAAATCATGTTTTTTAGGACTTTCTAAAGAGAGAATTTTTCAAACCATATGTTTAAATTACTAAAAGTAAAAATAAAACAGAATTAGTAATTAAAAATTTTTAAATTTAAAGAGTGTCATATTTTTGTACTTTTGTGATATATAATGAAAACAATTTTTATCTTAATCTTTTATGCACAAGGTTTGTAAATGGGCAAAAATATAAGCCCATTTTTGTAACCTCATTGTTAATCTATTGTAATCGGGCAGATTGATAAGCTCATTTTTTTACAAGGTCGGCTGATCTATTTTTAACCGAGAGATCCATCTAGTGGGTACTCTCGGATTAACCCAAACTGTATTCCTACTCTTTGCAGCAATACACAAGTAAACTTTTATCAAAAAAAATAAAAATAAATCTTGTATGCACAAGGGAACCTTATTTATTAGGACTCTATAAGGAGAGATCCTGCTTTCAAATAATAAAATAATCAGGAGAGGTTTTGCTTTGAATGGGAAAATATATAACCCATATATCAATTGCCCTCTTGATTAGGATTCTCATTAGCAACTAAATCTATACTCTCTCTCTAATAGGTTGAGCTATATGCTCCTCTTGATTCTCAACTGGCAACTAAATCTATACTCTCTCTCAATTCTCCTCTTGATTAAGCTATGAATCTTTTGTTTCAACGGATTTGATCAGATCGATTGAAATGAAAATCTATTATTGCATGATCGTGACAATGCATATACGTTTCAAGAATTTTATGATCTGTTGTATAGTTTGCCTTGAATTAGCATTTTCTTTGTTTTATTCAATGGAGTAGTGCCAAAAAAGACGAACAAACTTGTGGAAGATGTGTTTTAACTCCAATGAATTTAATTTTACTAATAGGATTGCGTAATTCTAATTTACAAAATGCTAATTTAGTAGTTATGCGATTCTAATTTTCAGATTAAACTTATAAGTCACAAGTAAATTTATGCATGTATACAGGAAAATGTACTTGTAACTTGAAACTTATATTAAAGAGTAACTTTCCAAAAAAAGAAGAAATATCATATATGCCATTTCTAGAGTGCACATGCCTTCAACAGAATATGATGCAATTTGTTGAAAGCCGCTCTCATACTGTGGGATGGAGTCATGGGTACTTCCCGTGTGATATGATTATGACATAGTTGTCATATGATCTTGAACTTTGTAAATTTAGGGTACCTAGCTTGATTATTGGCTACCTGTAAGTGATCTTTCTCTTTGTTTACTTGTGATGAAAAAGTTAGTAAGATTTGTGATTCACTAGTGTAGCTTAGATTGCAGTATAATGGAAGCTATTACCCATGAACAAGAGGTATTTTAGTAAAAGGCTGCTTAACAAATAATTCTTTGAAAGCCTCATTTCGAAGGATCAAATTTTGGGAACAGATTATTATTATTTTTTTCATGATAATCACCTTGCTAGGTCCACTCCTATATTCATGGGTGATGGACCGTTTGTAACCTTGCTTGTGATATTTCCGTCCAGGATCTTTATTTTCGTCCAGGATCTTGTAATAAATAGTGATATTTCCGTCCAGGATCTTTATTTTATAAGTTTTGTGTGTAAGTGACCTCATTGTCTCAAAAAATAATCCATTCTTTTTAAAAATAAAATGAAATAATTATTTCTGCTTATTATCATGAATTTTAGGCGCGATAAATTTTATGCGCACACGGCCTCATTATCTTGAAAAATAATCTTTTTAATAAAAATTGTGATATTTTATCTATGTTAGAAATTTTAAATGCTGTAAATTCTTAGAAAAATAAATTTATTTATTTTTCTTGTCTATTGTTAGAAAATTTTAGATACTATCAAATTATTAGAAATAAATGTGATATTTCTGCTTTTAGTAAAATTGTGATATTTCTTTCTACTGTTTTGAATATTTAGACATTGTAAAATTCATGTGCAAAT